CCTACCACCTGGTTTAGGTCAACAATGACTTTCAAAAGGCCAGCTGTCATTGCAGTTTACATTCTTCTGCATCATGTTTACGGTAGACAATAGGAATATAAGATACATGGTGCTTAAACAACCTGATAATGGCAGCTCAACATAAGACATTCAAGGTCAACATTTGTTACAATTGATCAACCATATATACAAGTAAGTAGAATGTTGAATTAGGTTATCAGCATGACCTAATTCAAAATAAAGTAATTTCCTTATGCAATCAGTCCCATATTTTCCATTATGTATAACGTTATTGTTTCTAGGATAACCTAATGCATGCTGATCGTTAGATTTAACTTGATGAATTCTCAATAAATATGTGTTTTTGAGTAAGCTTCAATGATTCATGCTCGCACCCAGAATAAACCACCACTCATTTATATCCCACTGCGGAAACTTAGGGTTTGAATACTTATTAATCTCATCTCATAAATTATACATTGTACTAAAATAATTATTGGAATTGATACTGAATTGTATAGGAATTGACTTTTCGAAATTTTGATTGTTATTCATCTATTATGAAGGGCTCATGGCGTTCCAATGTGGCTGCCGTCGCATGGCAGGTGGTGAGTTGAGCACTAATTTTTAACCAGAAGCACCTATTTCTTTTTGCTATATAATTAGTGGAGCATTGATGGGACAAAAAGCCATGAACGTCATCGGCGTGCTTTCGCAGAGCGTTGAAGTTGATCACAAGCCAGCCTCTCCATCTCTGCTCTTCCCGGTCTCTACTACTTACCGCCCTCCCGCACCGTTCAAATCTCCCAGCACAGTCAGACGGATCCTACTAATCCAATTGTCACATCATGGTTTCACGGTATCTGATGCTAATGCTCTTCTTTGCAGTGGCTGCCGCAGCAGCGGTGCTGGATCAGGACGATTTGCAGCTGCTGGAGCAGTTCATAACCGCCGTGCCGAATGGCACGGCACTCGCTGGCTGGAACAGCAGTCACGGTGCTTGCAGCTTCCCCGGTGTCCGCTGCAAGAACCACAGGGTCACGTCAGTGTCCCTCACCGGTGTCATGCTCAACGCCAATTTTAGTGCTGTGGCAAGTACCCTGCTTCAGCTAAGCAGCGTGGAGTCGGTAACAGTCCGTGACGGCAACATTTCTGGCATGTTCTCGGCGCTGCGGGGAGTGCAGTGCGGGGAGAAATTGTCTTTTCTGGACCTCTCCGGGAATCATGTCTCAGGGGAAGTTCCAGCATTCATCAATTGCTCCAGATTGGAGTACCTTGATCTCTCTGGTAACCTCATATCGGGTATTAAAGCCGGCTGAAAAGCCGGGTGAAACTGTTTTGTTGTAAGAGAAAAATACTGTTGTAGCTGCCGGCTGATAAAGTGAACAGGGTGCGTTCCCAACAGATATCTCACACCTCGAATCACTTACTACCCTCAACCTATCAAGCAACAATTTCTCTGTCAAGATTCCAGGAAATGCTTTTCCCCGTCTAGCTAAGCTCAGGACACTTACCCTCTCCTTCAACTATTTCAATGGCTCCATTCCAGAAGTGATCACCATGCTTCCAGAGCTTGAGATACTTGACCTCAGCTCCAACTTGCTCTCTGGCAACATCCCAGCTACCCTCTGCTCCACAAACACCAGCAGCAAGTTGCAAGTTCTTTACCTGCAGAGCAACTACCTCACTGGTGGCATCTCATAGGCCATCTCCAGCTGCACTGGTCTTGTTTCATTTGACCTCAGCCATAACTATATCAATGGGACTATTCCCTCATCCCCTGGCATGCTCTCGGGCCTCCGCGATCTGGTCTTGTGGCAGAACGCCCTGGATGGAGAGATACCTGCCTCTCTGTCCAGAATGCTTGCACTTGAAAATCTTATTCTTGACTACAATGCTCTTGTTGGAAGCATCCCTTCAGGTTTGGCAAACTGCAAAGGGCTAAAGTGGATGTCACTTGCCAGCAACCGGCTTTCCGGTCCACTACCTACCTGACTCGGCCAACTTGTCAACCTCCAAGTCTTGGGACTGGGAAATAACTCCTTCACTGGTCCGATACCGGCGGAGCTGGGTGACTGCAGGAGTCTGTTATGGCTGGACCTGAGTGGTAACCAGCTGAAAGGGCATATACCATCTGAGCTTGCAAAGCAGTCTAGGACGATGGAAGCCATCACTTCTTCTACGCGAAAGTTCGCATACCTTCGCAATGGCGAACAAAGGAATAACTATCAATGCCGTGGCAAAGGAAGTTTGGTTGATATCACAGGCATTCGACAAAGCGATTTGAGTCGGATGCCAAGTAAGAAAGCCTGCAGCTTCACAAGAGTGTACTTAGTCAGTACTTCCTCGATCAATTGCTATTCAATCAGATTTCTGGATTTGTCGTTTAATCAGCTTGACTCAGAGATCCCAAAGGACCTTGGGAGCATGAATTGCCTCATGATCATGAACCTTGGATACAATTGTCTATCAGGTGTGATCCCCTCTGCGCTTGCTGGCGCCAAGTTACTCCAAATACTCGACCTTTCTCACAACTTGCTGGAGGGGCAAATACCCAGCTCATTCGCAACAATGTCGCTAACAGAGGTTGATTTATCGAATAACAGGTTGAGCGGGATGGTTCCAGAACTTGGGTCGCTTGCCACATTCCCTGCAAGTCAGTTTGAGAACAACTCTGGCTTGTGTGGGTTCCCACTCCCGCTGTGCAAGCAGAGTGTTGCCGATACCCAGCAGTCCAAATCCCACAAGAGGCAGGCAGTCCTTACTGGTGGCGTCATGGCAGTGTTTTCTGTCTCGCTGTTTGGTACGTTTCTTATCGTTTTTCTTCTTCTGTATAAATAAAAGGTTGCTCGTAATGGTCTTAAGTTGCAACTTCCTAACTTGCTGCACATCCCTGCAGTTTGTGTCGCAGCACTGGTGATATGCCTATGTCAAAGGAAGAAATCCATGGTACATAATAACGCGAATGAAGCTTTAAGATTACAGGGTAATTTATTCTCTATCTGGAACTTCGATGGTGGAGATGTCTACAAGCAGATTGTGGAAGCAACGGAGAACTTTGATGAAAAATATTGCATTGGAAGAGGAGGTTATGGGTCTGTCTACGAAGCTACACTACGAACAGGAGAAACTTTTGCGGTAAAGAAGATGCAGAAAACAGAGGATGAAAGTATGAAAAAAGAGGAATAGTTCAACCGTGAAATAGAGAGGAAGCTCTATGGATATTGTGAAGCTCTATGGATATCGCCGCAGTGATCAAGATAAGTTTCTTGTATACAAATATATGGAGAGAGGAAGCTTATCAACTATTCTCATGGCCAATGTAAGTGCTGTTGAGCTGGATTGGAATAAGAGGCTAGATATCGCTAAGGATGTGGCTCATGCTCTCTATTACTTGCACCATGATTGTTCAACTCCAATAGTCCACCGAGATATAACATGCAATAACATTTTGGTTGATATGGAGTTCAGGGCCTGCGTATCAGACTTTGGCTTAGCTAAAATATTGAACTTTGATGTATCAAGTTGTACAAGGCTTGCTGGAACAACTGGGTATCTTGCACCAGGTAAAAAAAAAATTGGTTTGGTTTCAACTTATTATTCTTTCTGTGTCATGTTGCTTCATTATGTGTTTTGTCATACACGATTATTGATTCCTAGTGGAGTATGGTGTGACTAAGGGGTGTTTGGAACTACTCCACAAACTCTGCTCCATAAACTCCACCGTGGAGCAGGGCTCCCTTTAGGTGTTTGGAGCAGAAAGTCGTGTGGAGCTGAAACCGGGCTTAAAAACGTGCTGGGGCTCGTTTGGCCGGGCTCTGGGGGCTCCAGCTGCCGCCTGTCGGTTCGTGGGCGGCCGATAGGATGGTAGAAATTTTGTAGTGCTGAAAGGTGGTCCCGGATTGCTTTTTAATTCTTTCATTCAAAGTACTAGTAACTACCAGTACTGCGTTGTGGTATAGTTACTTGTCGAAACATATTGTATCAATTATGTTAGTATTACTTGTCCTTGACTGAACTCTTTTTTGAAAGAGACCTTGACTGAACTCTTTGATACCACAGAGCTTGCATTCGTGACGAGGGTGACGGAGAAATGCGACGTCTACAGCTTCGCCGTGGTGGTTCTTGAGCTGTTCATGGGATCCCATCCCGGTGATCTTCTTTCCGCTCTCTTGCGCACAGACAAGAAAAGCACATCGCTGGAGGATCTGTTGGACACCCGGCTCCCTTTCCCCGAAGCTGAGGCCGCAAGAGAAATCTTTGTGCTCCTCACGGTGGCTCTCCAGTGCTTGGATCCCAACCCAGCGAACCGTCCGACAATGCAGTCTGCAATCAAGAAGCTCACTGCAGCGCCGATAACCCAGGATGTTGATTACCTTCGTGCTGACCTCATGGATACTCGAACCCATGTGGCCATGCGCATTGATGCACTTAAGAAAGAGCAAGGTTATGTGGCTGGGTTTGAGATTCAGTGATGGGGTTTCGCTCTTTCATGGCCAGCTTGGTTATTTTCCTGCACATTGGTGTATGTATATGATGTACTGTGAGGTGAAATGCTGTGTAGAGGAGAAAACTGATGAATAAATGCGTTTTGCTCTTTGTAATTTTGTTCATATGATTGCCTTGTAGTATGAAGAAGGTTCATATGCCGTTTTGAACGTATTGCTTGCTGGGTAATCTTACAGGCCGTTCTAGCTTGCGGCCCAGTCAGTTTATGGGCTTTGTGGCCGCGTTGGCGACCGGTTCATTCAAATCCCCTGGGCCTTTGGTGGAGTTGGCCACCGGGCAGAGCGACGGGGCAGCCGGAGTCCGGAGAGAATGGCGGCCAGTCTTCTCCCGACCTTATCGCCGCCCGTCTCGCGCGCCGCCGCCGCTTTCCTCCTCCGACGAGCCCCACTGAAGCCCTCCCATTATCTGCACCCACCCCCACTCTCCGCCGCTTACTCTCCTCCTCCTACTATCCAGCAACCCCTTCCCTTGCCCTATGCCCCCTCTCGACCATGCCGTCCACCGCCGCCGCTCGAGCCGTTCCGGCCCGCTGCGACCTCCTCATGCTAGGCATCGAGACCAGCTGCGACGACACTGCGGCTGCTGTGGTACTGGTGCTTTCTTCCTCGATTCTCCTGTCGATTTTACCTGCGGCGGAGGCGTCAAGTTTTTGTGCTGAGCTGTTTCTCTGCTGTTTGGCTCTGATTGGTTGCAGGTGAGAGGTGACGGCGAGATCCTTAGCCAAGTGGTTTCTTCCCAAGTAAGTCATTTCCCGCACAATTTTATTTCTGAAGTGCATTCTGACCTCTTATTCCGGCTGTAAATTTGAGCTGGCTTCTTATCATCTTATATGCAACATGGCAATCGGTAGCATATATGTATATGTAATGATACCATTGTTCATTGCTGACCGGTTCTGCTTTTCGTTGGCCAACATTTGCAAGGCGGATTTGCTTGCGAGGTATGGTGGTGTTGCTCCTAAGATGGCCGAGGAAGCACATGCCCTTGTGATTGACCAGGTGTGGCTTCTTAGATCAACAAAGGTTCTGCAGCCTTTTGCGGTGCTGACGTCTATGCTAATTTCATGTTCTTATTTACTGGCCAGGTTGTTCAAAAGGCCCTTGACGATGCAAAATTGTCAGAAAGTGATCTTTCTGCAGTCGCTGTGACCATTGGACCGGGACTTAGTCTATGCCTTAGAGGTGTGTTTTTACCTGCCCTTCGTTCATTGAGACGATGAATTGTCTGTTCTGTTCATGATTTGCCTTTGTTAGTTTGCATATGAGACTTTTACCAAATTGATATACTAGTGTGTATATGGCTCAGATTAGTTGAATTCAATCAGACCAGAAACCCATTGCCCAATTAAGAAACAAGACTGCTTTGGTTCTGCTGTCCTGGATAACATTGCTGTTGACTTGCTTCTTATATCCCTCATGTTATATAACTTGTACCTTGGCAAATTTTGGGATAATTGGTATCAGGTCTCAGAAGTTTAATTTTTTGTTACTGTTTCCATTATTACCATATCTCTTTTTTTCCCCTAATGCTGCGCATTTTCCTGTCTAAACTGCAGTTGGTGTTCATAAAGCTAGACAGGTAGCGAAAGCATTTGGGTTGCCTATTGTTGGAGTTCATCATATGGAAGCGCATGCATTAGTTTCCAGGTATTTAACTCATAGGACCCTTTGCTGTTCAATCAACCATGATCTTAAATTGTATGGACTTTGATTTCTTTTTTGGTATATGCTGCACAAGTTATTTTGTTAATTCATCATCAAATAGAATAAAATCTAGTTGTTTTTATTTCAAGAAAAAAGGATTGGTTTGTTCAAAGTCACTTGTTGCAAATTTGGTGTTTTTGTTGTTATTACTTTTTTATCAATTTTTACATCAGAATTTGCACATCTGTTTAGACATTACTACTTCTTGGCATCCTTCTATAGTATCTACAAGTTTATGTGGATATTAAACTAAGCTGGTGTAGTGGCATATGCTGCGAACAAACAAACTTTTAAGTTTTAACTTTCAGTCTTCAACCAATTTTCAGCCCATTGTGAAAAGTAAAAACATTAACTTTTGTTTAATGTAGGAGAGAAATTGGTCCCATAAGTATCTGATTCTCGATACCACATCAATCACCTAATAGCTAATGGCTCTTATATTGAACAAAAGAAATGAAACTCAAAGCTATATTTTGAGGACTGGTGGGATAGAATTACTGCTAGCTCTAATGATCAAATTCAAAAGGACCTTAATTCCCTTGTTATCCTTGGAGCTTGGTCTCTGTGGAACCATCGCAACAAGTGTGAGTTTGATGGTGTGACTCCAAACTTGGCTAGAGCTCTTTTACTCACAAGTGAGGAGTGTACCTCTGGGTTTTGGTCAGGGCTCGAGTTGTTTGGCACCTCTCTGCCTTTGTGTCATACTTTTGTTAGACTGGGGTAGAGGTTGTGCATTGTTCTAGAAAAGGCGTGTATATCGTTTAAGTCTTTGGTGTGAGTGGGTGCGTGTTTTGTAAGGTTCTTCCCCTTTTTTCTTCTTAATATAATGGTACGTAGCTCTCCTGCATGTTCGAGAAAAAACATTATTTAGAGCATGCCAAACTTGTTAAACCTAAGGACAATGTTATATGAACTTAAACAAAAGATTGCATAAGTGCCTCACTATATTTCTAACTTTATGCATGCACTGTACCCGCAGTTGATGTTGTTTGATCCTTGTCAGGCTAGTGAATAAGGACCTTGATTTCCCATTTCTGGCTCTTCTAATTTCAGGTATGTGCTAACTACATTATTATGTCTCAGTATTATATGACACAATACTATTTGTTTAACTTTTATATGGATCAATATATCTTAATATGATTCTCATCAACTTTGAAATTGGGATCAGCCCTCGAGGGTATTGAGCCTGGACCCACCTGAAAAAACAAACATTTAGAGCATCTACTCCATCTAGAATACATATTTGCTAACCTAAGATGTGCCAAACTTAGTCTAACTTGCCTATGAGAAATGTCCTAAGTTGTGGTTTCCAATGATAGAAGCCCATGCCACACAGTATTCAACACACCAGAAACATAAGTGCATTTTCCCCATCTGTTTCAACACAAAATAATTATCACATTTTGTAACTCTTCTGTGCCTTTCTACTTTGGATGATCATTCTGACATTATTCCATGATCATAGAGTATGTTGATTTTAATGCCTTTTAACTTGTCATATCTTAGCTGCTTTATTTGCTCTCTGTCTAGTCCTCCGCTTAAATGTTTCTTTCTTATTCCAATGCATAAGCTATTAAACTGATTACCACATTTTGCCCTATATCCTGTTGAAATTATTAAAATGAAATGTATGGCAGATGATTTCAGTTGTTTATAAAATAATTGTAGTTCCAGTTGACAAAGTGCATGTAACTCAATGGAGAACTACCTCAGCCTAAGTTCCTTAACAATATTTTCTAATTTGACAGCAAAGTTGTGTACTAATCCGTCCAGAAGAAATATTCTTTTGGCTTTAAGGTGTCTTAACAAGTTAATATGTTCAGGAGGACACAATCTTCTTGTTCTTGCTCGTGGCCTTGGGCAATACATTCAACTGGGGACTACTATAGATGATGCGATTGGTGAGGCATATGACAAATCAGCAAGATGGTTGGGCCTTGATATGCGGAAAGGTGGTGGTCCTGCTCTTGAAGAGCTTGCTCTAGAAGGTGATCCAAATGCTGTTAAGTTCAGAGTAAGTCTGCTGATTTTTTTTTTCAAAATTAAGATGTATCTATATGTTGTTATCCATTTATTTTTATTATGATTATGCTACTTGATGTTATTGTTTATAATTTTTTTACATACTTTCAGGTTCCAATGCGGCAACACAAAGATTGCAATTTTTCTTATGCTGGCCTGAAGACTCAAGTTCGATTGGCAATTGAATCTAAGAACTTGTATGGACATACTATCCTTTCTGGTCTCAATCCCTGTGTCCTCTCCTTTTTCATAAATATGAACCAGTTTTCTGGTGTTTCTAGTAGAATCATCGATTTAGTATCCTTTGAGACAGTAGTATTTGGCACTTTCTATTTACCTCAAGTTCAAAGTTCTAAATTGACAGATAACTACTTCATTTGAAATGCCTAAATGAACATGTTTTAAGTTCTCATTTATGCTTAGAAAATATTTATTTTAAGTAGGACTTGTCAAAACCTGTGCAAGTGATCATATACGAAGTTTAGTAACTTTGTCTTAAAACATGAAAGTTTTTTTTCCTCTTTTAGAGAACATGTTCATGGGGAGGGCTTTGTAGTCATGATAATATGATTAGTTTCTTTAACTGGCCTATCATTTACACTATGGTAGATGTACAGAGGATGTTCCCATTTCGTCTGCATCGGAGGAAGACAGACAATCAAGGGCGAACATTGCTGCCTCTTTTCAGGTTGTACACGGTGGATAATGTACTCAATGTTTACTGAGGATTTTCGATACTTTTTTCTGATAATTTTGACCTATGCAGCGAGTTGCTGTGTTACATTTGGAAGAAAGATGCCATCGAGCAGTTGAATGGGCATTGAAGATGGAACCTTCCATCAAATACTTTGTAACTCAGATATCTTGAAGTTGGCTAAATTCAAATCACTCAACTCATCCAGTGTTGACTTATCCAATTATAAAAAGGTTGTTTCAGGAGGAGTCGCATCCAACAAGTATGTTAGGACTCGCTTGAATCAAGTTGCTGAGAATAATGGCCTACAACTTGTATCTCCTCCTCCAAGCCTTTGTACTGACAATGGTAATAAGTTATTTGAAAAGTCTTAGTAACTTATATACTAAAATACAATTATGCTGTCAGCCAAACAACCATTGCAGTTCTTTGTTTTTCACTATAGACCCTAGGCCATGCTATTATTTTTCCTTTTTTTGTTTGTTTGTCAAATTGATGTATGTGACCTAATTATTCTAGCTGTCATTACAATAGTCTTCATTCTTTGTATAATTATGAGTAATCAGTAACAATCTGTTGCTGCATTTGCATAGGCGTCATGATTGCTTGGACTGGGATTGAGCACTTCGTTGTGGGGAGATTTGAGGATCCACCTACTGATGATGAGCCTGATGATATGCAGGTCTGCAGCTTGGCTTGTATTTATTTGTTGCAAAAGTTTATGTGGTCACTTCTTAAGTTTAACTAGTATGCACTTCGTTCTCTTCAATCATTTATAGTGGCTGGCTTGAGCAGTCTCTTATGTTTCTTTTTTTATGTTTATTTCTCACTGTTTGAAGGTCTGGCATGACTGCCGAAATAATGAATTGTGACCACACGACACGATTCTTGTCTTGTTACCTTTAGCCCCTCTGAATTATTACTCATAACTGGAACATTTTGTCAACTTAGTTACTAACCAAAACTTTGTAGAAACCAAAGAATGCTCATACCACAAAAAGTCAAAAACATTGGTGTGGCAAAGGGGGAAAAAAGGCAAGTGACAAATAAACAGCAATCTAATTGTCATTTAAGTGGAAGGTAGTTCGTGATGTTGGTTTTAAGATTGAATCCAATTACACTTCCAGATTTACTTTTCTAATCCTAAAATAATTGCATTTGTTCTACACTTCTACTGATGAAGTTTGATAATCCAATATAATGTAGATCAGCACTCTCAACAATCAAAACCATGACATCTAATTTCTTTAATTAAAATGGCACGATGCCGGATAGTTTTGACTCTTGAATCAGGTCTATTCCTTCGTTTGTGGGAGGTGTCTACTAACTGGAGAATCTCAAACTGCTGTCACAATTTTCGTGAACTACTTCCCTATTTTCTTTGTCTGATCAATTCTTGTGTGGTACAGTATGAGCTGCGGCCAAGATGGCCTCTTGGTGAGGAATATTCAGAAGGAAGAAGTGTTGCACGATCATTGAAGACCGCTCGAGTCCATCCATCACTAACGTCTATGATACAGGGCTCTCTTCAAAAGTAGTTGAGTTGGAAGTTGGAACCAATTATTGGTCTCAGCTGCTTTATGCAGTTGAGTTCCCCGTCTTCTAGTTTTCGGTTTACAAATCACAGTCTGGCAACCGCTATTTGTATTCGCTTAATTGGAGTAACAAAAGCTACAAATGGGCTGAACTGGTTGTTTAATTGTACATATGAGGCAATATACAGATCCAGTTCATATATATCAGAAGATGCTTACTCCAGCATTTGTTTTACCATGAAGGCTGGCTGTATCAGGACCCCCGTATTTTGAATGTGGTGTATATTCCTTGTTCCTTGAGGCATTTCATCCGAACATATCCTTTATCATTCCTTTGCAATGCCAATGCCACAAGGGTTGATTGCGGCGTTCATACCGGCAACCGAAGTTTTGAAGTGTCGATTACCTCTACCTGTGTATCCTTCAGACACGAATTGAGAGCAGTTCCAGTCTGAGTGCTGGAAGAGCAATCGCATCCTACCCCGTGCTCATTCGATTCTCCGGGAGACCAGGACCTGCAAATGAGGACGCCACACAAGGGCCAACTAAAAAGCAGCTCCAGCAGTAGTGTTTTTTCCCTTCCACGGGCAAGGTTGTCATAATTATAGATTTTCAATCGGTAATGCTACCATTAAGACGTCCGAAGGCAGAACGCTTCGCTCCACTCACTTCCGCATACGCCGCTCGCCTAAAAAACAAAATTAATTCCCACATGCAGCGCTCGGCCCCGCTCCCACATGCGGCGCTCAACTGCAAGCCGCCCAGCCCTACCAGATGTGGCATGCAGCCGCCCTCTCCTGATTTTTGGCGCCCGGCTGCCAGCCCTACATGGCGCACAGCCGCCTACGAGTCGCAGCGCTCGGCTACTGGCCCTGCCAGGCGCGGCGCGATGTCGCTACCTCCCTGCCCTGTCGTGCAGCCACCGCCGAGCCGCTGCCTACAAGCATCGCCGGGCCGCTGCCTCCGACGAACTCCACATGCCGACGAGCCTTCATTCTCCCAAGCAAAGAAGATGTTTGCGCTGAAATTGCATGTTGCAAGCGTCTGTTTCAAGTGTTTCAAATGTTTTAGAGGTATATTGCAAGTGTTTCATACTGATGTTGCAAAAATAGATCGGGATGTTGCACATGTTGTAATGGTTATATACGTATGTTGCAAGCTCATGTTCTCAATGTTTCATCTGTTTTTTCCGACGTACGTTGCAAGTGTGTTTATTTAAATGTTGCATATGTTTTCACACATATGATACAAGTGTTTTGTCTGGATGTTGCGTATGTTTACAATTGTTTCAAGTGTTTTCAGGTGTTTTTGCAAGTGTTTCAGACGCATGTTTTAAATGTTTCATTTGTTTTCAGACGTATGTTGTAATTGTTGCATCTAAATGTTTCAAAACTATATCGAGTGATGCATCTCCCTTCTCGCCTTTCTGCTGTCTCGCCTCAGTGTTAGGCGCGGGAAGGCAGAGGCGGTCCCCATTGGCGTGGGGGCACAACAAATGAGATGTGGGTGAGCAGCCGCGGGACGGGGGCTAGCGTCCACACGTCCGGGCGCTAGTCACACCCCAATTGAATAGAAGAATTATAGGTAATCGCAAAAAAGAAGAAGAATTATAGGTAAGATCATAAACATGAAATTGTAGAAATGTAGACTCTACTAAAGAGGATCATAGAGAATCAGATATCTTGGTTAAGATTGTGAAGACGTAAAATCGTATGACAGATTTTAATGACTATATTATGGGGCTAACTTTTTTGTTCTTTTTTTTTATGGCGGGCGACTTGTTGCTGAGTTCCAATTGGTTCAAGCAAAGGCAAAAAAAAAAGGCCAAAAAAAATTCACAGGAGCAATCACAAGATTTGGAATTACTTCATGGGAACCGCTACGTAACCATGGCATGTGAAGAACTTTTTTTTTCAAAAAAAAAGGGGAGACTAAAGTGGGACCGAAATGTTAGGACGATGCCTTGGACAGGATAAGGACATGATATTGCATTCCTTTTGACACTAGTCTAACAAAGAAACCTCATTACGTTAGTATCAGTATTTGTTTTTCCTAAAGCAGCCAAACAGGTTACAGCTCAATCTAAGGGTTCAGAGCAAGTTACGTGTCGTCAGTCGTCACGTATTCAGCCTGCCGTTGCAGAAGACCAACAGGTGTCCCGTAGAGAAATGGGGAGAAAAGGGCACGAGCGAAAGAGAGCAAGCAAACTGCCGCGGCAAAGTGTCCTTCTAGCACAGGTTTGTTCTTATCGCCCCAGAAAACAATTCCACTTGCAGTGGATGAATAAACTCTTGTAATGTGGATCAGTTTGTTCTGTGGCAATGTAGCTGGTAGTTGTTCGTTATTAAAAAAAACAAAAAGAAAGTAGTCGGTGAAAACTCTCTGCTCGGTGAAATCGTGAAAATTCTTTTAGAAAAATATACTTAAGAGTGTTTAAAAAAAATGAAACTATGCACATTCATAGTGTATCTATAGGTGTAAATTATGGCAACATTTGTTATTCATACTTATTCTGTAAAAGGACATACGAAAATAACAAATTTTAGATGCATATGAAATTTTCTAGATTGAATTTGAATATCAAATTTTGCTATAGTATACATCTATAGATGCATTATGGATGTGCATAGTTTCAAAATTGTTAAAGACCTGTAAGTATATTTTTTTAAAGAGTTTTCATGATTTTACCCAGTAGAGGGTCTGTACTTAACACTTAAAAAAAACAAATATATAGTTGATACTTGGCATAACAGTATGTAAAGATAGTTTTCAGAGCATCTCCAGCAGCTCACCAAAAATCTATCTCTAATAAAATAATATTGGTGAGCACCAATATTGTTTTTTTAATTTATTGGGGGAGATAGTTTTAGGTATTACCAATACCAATCACTATTCACCAATACATAGACCCCCACTAGCCAGTTCTTGTTTTCTTCTTTTATCTCTTTCTCTCGAGCATGGTGTTCTCTCCCTCACACTGCTCTCAGTCGCCCCTCCCTGTCCTCTCCACCGTCGCGATGCCCCTCTCCAGTCACTCCACATCTGCAGTCTCCACTATGACCCCTATGTGGCCCCTCCACCGCCTGCACTTCCTTGACCTATCCCCATCTGCTTTGGCCAGCTTTCCTACCACTAGCGCTTTTGCTCGTCTTCCTCCTGCCTGACACCAACACCGGTTCACCTCTCAGTTGTGGATCACCGCTCCCTTCCTCGCTTCTGATGCACCTCTTCATCCCTTCTCCCATCCGCAAACTCCAAGAAAATGGATCCCAGTTGCCATGGTTGTGCCTAACGTGAGCGGTGCGTGCTTTAGGCAGTGGTGGACGACCGACTACAGTGACCTATAGGGGCATGTCCAGCCCGCGCGGGAGTGAGAAATTCGACACTTGAGATTGATGTGGAATATTGGAGGGGAGGTATATCTTTTGATCTATTTGGAGGAGTTACGGTGAAATATCAGTTACCACCATAATAAGGATGAGAAAGAAGATCCGCTAGAGTAAGAAGTTTGGTTCAACTCCCTCGATACGATAATTATATTGGAGATAGGAGAGCTGCTGAAAATGCTTTTAATGCGTACATTCGTGTATATGGGTGGTGTTTGGTACAGTAGACATAGTAGTAGGTTAGTACCTGCCTACTATTGATAATTTGGTATGCAAAGACTGCAAGGTGTTAGGATTCGTGCGGTCATGTCCAGGTATGATCACGGCAGTGGAGGTACTACTCCCTCCGTACCTAAAAGAATTAAAAATCTTGATTTTCAAAAAGTCAACCAATTTTAAAACTCAACTAAATTTGTATTCATATATTTTTATTATAAAAATAAATTTCACAATTAATTTTTATAATTTATTGCACATCATTAATATTAGTTTTCTATATATTTAATCAAATTTAAGATTCTTTGACTTCTTAGAAACCTTGATTTTTTAAGAAATAATAATCAAACTAAATTATTATCAGTCACATGGAATAGTATGAGAAGTGAAACATGATTTTTAGCGAGTACTCCTACCCACTCTGTTTAAAAAAACACACTTCTCATTTTTTTAAGAACTTAACCAATTTTAATTTGGAAGGGCTAGCGCCCGGACGTCTGGACAGGATATCGTGTCCGGACGCAGCTCCCCTGCCCGCTTCCCGTCCCACGCCCCACGTCCGCATCCCGCCCACACCCCGTGTCCGCATCCTGCCCAACGCCAGTGCCCATGTTTGTCGCAGGACCGTGCCCGCATGAGGAACCCACGTGAGTTGACCCACGACTGCACCCCAGCAGTAGCAACAGGCGGTTGCGCAGGCCGCTGTCCACCAGCCACCTACACCATGCAACAACCCCGATTTACTTTTGAAACATCCAGATAAAATATTTGCAATATACATATGAAACAGATGAAACACTTGAAATATTCGCTTGAAATTAAACATGCGTGTATAGACATAGCAACATATGTAACATCCATATCTATTTTGGCAACATCCAAATGAAACACTTGCAACATAAGTATGAAACATATGAAACACTTGAAACACACGCTTGAAACACACGGGTAAAGCCATAGCAACATATGTAATATCCAGATGGAACACTTGAAACATACGTCTGAAAACACCTGAAACACTTGAAACATAGGTTTGCAACATGCATATATTGTCATTGCAACATATGCAACATTCCAGATCTACTTTTAAAACATCCAGATAAAACACTTGAAACATATGTCTGAAATGCCTGAAACACTTGAAACACAGTGGCCTACCTCGTAGTGAACTGCGGTAGCCAGCAAGCTCGGATCAGGGGAACGTCGAGAGCTGCCCAGCGTACACCTAGGTGCAGACGCAGGCCTTCCCTTCCTGCCACAGTGTCTTCGACCAGCCACCGTGCACGCCATGGCCGCGACGGCGCGAGGTGGATGGGAGCGCGGGATGGTGGCCGGATGCGACACACCCACGCTGGAGAAGGCCGCGGCGGCCAGAGAACGCGAGCCACGGGTGAGCGGCGCGGTGTATGCGCCAGCGGCGGTAGCATGCGTTGCTGGGGAAAGGAGATATCGCTGTCTTTTCGAGAAACCATGAAGCATTTACGTTGGAGCGAAGGAGGCCTATTAGGCTCGATGGCTACGCAGGTCCAAGAACGGGCTGTCCGGACAAATATGCGTTGAGAATTTTCGATTTCGATTTTGATCAAATCTATAAAAGGATACTATCGACATTTATTCTCCAAAGGTAATTATTATAAAATATATATATATATATTTCATGATTATTTTTAGATTTAAACAAACATAAAATTGGTTGATTTCTTGAAACTTGAGTGTACTTGTCCAGTGAATGGGCGCGGTGTGCAAGGAGCACGTACACCGTACGCGTGTCCCGGGAAACCAGCAGATAATCCACACTTCCACAGCCAGAAGACACCTGGACCTGGCAGCACAAAACGAAAGGTGCAGCGAGGAGAGGTCGTCAGGTTCTAGACACATGGCTAGGCATCCTGCAAAGTCTGCGTACACTGCCCGCGAACTACTACTTTGGATCGCACCTTCATCCTGCCCAATGCCCCCGCTCGAT